TCCATCACCACATTATTGTCATTCTTTTGATCGGTTAAAAAACATCTTTACTATTTTGCATGCCAATTTAACAAGCTACCCCTATATATACAAATATGATCTGTAATTACATTTCATTGCCTGATGTAGTGTGCCTTGCACACGAAAGCTCACACCTTGAATAATACTATGTTGGTCTTAAAGGTGCCGCTGGACTCAAACTTTGTTCTACCGCTTCAGACCAACACAGCTGCCCACCTTGATCTATAAGAATATTTTGTCTTCTTTGTGGTAGCCAGCCCTTTTCTTCAAGTTTGGTTGATGCACAAGTTGCAGCTTTTCCTGCAAAAGCAAGATCTAGCCATAGTTATTGACACTAATAACCATCCAGTTAGACTAGGTAATGTGCTTTATCAAGGGCAGGGATGGCCAAACTGTGGCTTGGGAGCCACATGCGGTTCTTTCACACATATTATGTGGCTCCCGGCAGGATGGCTGGGGAAGCGAAGGGGAGGCATGCCTCCCCAATTGGTCATCCCTTCCCCAGCCAGTGAAACCCTTCCTGGGTAGGCTTGAAGTGGGGGGGGGGGCAGAAAAAGAAATCAACTTTAACTTTAAATGCATTCTCAAAGCACCCCCTGTACAAGATTAGCCCACCCAAGCCAGTCCAGGGATGGGCGGGAATCTTGTACTTTTTCAGTACATTAAACAACAAACTACGAGATGGTCTATACCCTCTCTGGTTTCAGAACAATGTGCCACCAGAACCTCTTTTCACTAGTCCCTGCTTTTCCTAAGGGAGAGATTCCAAACCCTTAGTTGGCACCCGGGACAGGACACATTAGGAACTCACTCCAGAGATGCACACTTAATCTTACAAAGGTAGCTTCTATGGTGAGCAGAAGGTACAAGATTAAGACTTGGAATGCAAGTTACAACATCAGAGACCCATTAGAAATAAGAATAATTTTTATTCAGTACAGGTTATAGCAAAACAGACTATATAAGAGATTACTGAAAACAAGAAAAACCTATGGCTCTTTGCCTTAACTAAACATTAATGATTCATAGTTACCAAGTCTGAACATCCACAGTCCAGGATTGTCCAAGTACCAAGGGATTTTGAAGAGAAATCCCATCCTTGCACCCATGTGCTCCAGTTCACAAAGCAGCTCTTTGTCTTCCAAGAGACAGCATTTCCAGGTGCAATAAACAGACAATGACAAGAAGGGAGAGCTAAGAGCAAGAGAGCTCATTCCCATCGGGATCGATCAATTATAGCCCAATTCCAGTCACAATCAGCCGTGGCCATCAGCCAATTGCGAGTGGGTATGGGATGTGTGCAATTGTTGGTTGTCATAGCTGCGTGTGGGGATAGGCTAGAAGTTTGGAGACCATGCCTGCAGTCACATGACCCCAAACTCCAGCTTCTCCATTGCCTACGTGACTTTTTGCATGTGGGCCAGAGCCAGGAGCCATCAGGCCTGGCTCTTCCACTTAGAGGTGTGAAAGAATGTGTGGTTATATGGCATGGCTATTGAGGCCTCACCATATGGCTTGCAACAGGAAACTAAGACACAGCATGTTATCAAAGACATCACAGGAGAAGGCATGTGAATATAGAAGCAGAAAGCAAAATTTCTATACACCCCCCGCCTTGCCAGCTGGCTTGGAGAAGGCATTTGTCTCTTTAAATCCCTTCTTGAAGCCAAGCCAGCTGGAGTGGGGGGGGGGAGTCTTTAAAGTTAAATTTGCTTATTTTCTCCCTCTCCCTCCCTCCCTCCCTCCCTCCCCATTTCATTGTTTTCTTTCCACCTCTCTCTCTTTCACCCTTCCTCCCTCTCTCCCCATCTATTTGCTTTCTTTCAACTACTCTTTTCTCTTTCTTTCTCTCTCTTTCTCCCTTTCTTTCTTTCTTTCTTTCTTTCTTTCTTTCTCTCTCTCTCTCTCTCTCTCTCTCTCTCTCTCTCTCTCTCTCTTTCTTCCTCCCTCCCTCCCTCCCCATCTATTTGTTTTCTTATTTCTATTGTTCTTTCTTTCTCTCTCTTTCCTTCTTTCTTCCCACCTCTTTAATTCTTTCCACCTTTCTATTCCTTCCTTCCTTCCATCCTCCCTCATCTATTTGCTTTCTTTGTTTTGCTCCCTCTCTCTTTCTCTCTCTCTCCCTCCCCTCCCTCCCCCATCTATTTACTTTCTTTCCACCTTTCTTTCACTTTCTCCCTCCCTTCCTTCCTTTCTCTCTCGCTTCCTTCCTTCCTTCCTTCCTTCCTTCCTTCCTTCCCCCCTTCTCCCTTCCATCTATTTGCTTTTTTTGTCTCTCTCTCTCTCTCTCTTTCTTTCCACCTCTTTCATTCTTTCTTTATACCTCTCTCTCTTTCTCTTAGATGAATAAATATTATTATCAATTTCTGTTTTTACCCCTTTTTTATTTTTGGCAGTCTCATTTAATGCTAATACAGAGCAAATTTGCATATTGTCCAATAAAAATGTGTGTGTAATATTTGTTCATGTCTTGCGGCTCTCAAACATCTGACATTTATGCTATGTGGATCTTACGTTGAGCAAGTTTGGCCACCCCTGATCTAGGGTGTGGGATTTTTTGAAAGATCCATTTGTTCCAGAAGGCAGCAGCAAGATTGCTGGCTGGTGTCTGGCTGATGTCAGTTACAGAGAACTATATTGCCTTTTTAAAAAGAATGACCCTGGCTGCCCATTTATTTCCAGGCTCAGTTCAAAATGTGGTTCTTCAAAGCTCTAAATGGTCTAAGGCTATTTGGAAGATTGCTTGTCCCATACAAACCTACCATCAAGATCTTCTGCAGAGGCGCTGCTCAGTGTTCACCACATTAAAATATAATCTGAATCTTGGTTTTAGATTACCATAGACAAAGCTCTGTTCTGCTGACTTTGGAAGTTCCTCCCCACGATGTTTTGTTTAGTGACTTGTTTGTGAAGTTTAAGCACCATGTGTGTATATGCATACATATCTATTTAAGCATTGGCAGTACTGTTGATTTTTAATGCTATCAGCATCTCAGCTCATCCAAGGATCCCGAGCAAAAGGACAGGATCACCCTTTAACCCTTGAAAATGGCACTTAAGATGCTTTTAAAATTCAAAAATAACAAATGGTTTTATTTAGCATCAAAGGGAAAGGTCAAGTGAAATCAGGGGTTGAAAGTACTGAGGTAAAACCAGTACAAGCACAGATTTTTTTATATCAGGCTAATGAGAGGTTCTTAATTCATTCACGGTTACTTAGATCTTTATATTGGGAGGCTTTTGTTCCAGTGTTCTCCCAAACACTCTAGTTCACTTTATTTAAGTAATTACTGACTCTTTTGGTGTCCAGAAGGCTGGTACTCTTCCCAGTACCCAAACCCCTTCTCTTGGAACACCAGTACTCTTCTTGAGTTGTTTGTTGACTTTTAAGGTCTTTATAGGCAGTTTGTAATCACACCAGACCAGGGAATCCTGTACTGTTCTGAGATAACTCTCCCTGTTTGAGTGGGTAGAGAATTTTCTTCTCTCTCTTGAAGATCTATCCCCTTTCCTTTGGCCTGAATGTGAGTATTCTCTACTACCCAAACTTACTTGCCAAACTTCCCCCCAGTTCTCTGTCTGTGTTCAGCTAATGCTGAATTCAGACTGTATTCAGTCAAGGTAGAAATCTGACTCTGTCAGCACTAAACCCTTTTTCTGTCAAGGCTATTCTCAGAAAGTCTCAGTATACATCTCTTCTCAGTTAAGGCAGAAATCCGACTAGATCTCCTCAGCATCCAACTCTCACAAGACTTTTTCTTTTTGCTCAGCTGATGCTAACCAATCAGATTACTTGGAACAGCCTGTCACTCAAGGCTCTCAGTTTCTGTAAAGTACTAACCCTTCACAGTCCTTCAGTTCTTTGTACAGCACTTGTAAGCCTCTTAAAAAGTGCAGTCCGTCACACATCTCCTTTAAAGTTGTTTGGTTATAGCACTCTTCCTCTTGGGTGTATTGTATAAATAAAATGTGGGGGCTGGGTGGAAGCTCCGTGACATGATCAGCCCAGCCAGAATCACATATGCCCAAGCTGGAAGTGATGTAGCACTACCATGGGTGTGGTGGCCACCTTCGAGCTACCTCAGATATTTATAAAAGTCCTTCATGGCAGAGGAACAGACCATCAGTAGGAACTGTGATATGACAAAGAAAGCGGTCACAGCTGTTTCTGGTGGAAGTCCAATGTAAAAGACAACTGGAATGGCAAGCTAATTGAAATCTAATGTTAGTGATTATTACTTCCTTGGTACTACAGGATGTTCGGTCTTCTACTGTATTAACCTACTTTTCTTATAGCTGATTAAAATGTACAGCAAAGAGAAGGCTTAAGTTCTGAAACTGTATGTACGTGTTTCAGCATAACCGTTATTATTATTATTTTTTAAAGAAATCAGATGTAACCAGTCCTAGAAGCTACTCATTTTATAAGAATTGTGATGATTTAGCATATCTATGATAGGTTTTATGTCCCCCAATTTTTAAACCCAGTTTAACTAAAAACACAACAACACTCAGTTCCAATATGATGCATGATTTACTAAGGCAGTAAAAGTTAAAGCAACTACAACCCAGTGCAGAATCTCAAAGGATATTCCGCATTAAAGTTAATAGGAAATTTGATTAGGCCTCAGTGCTTTATCAACATTTTTGCAACAGTTGTTTGCTCTGTATTGCTTTCTCCAAAAGGCATTGATTGTACTTTATTAGCCCTTTCCTGTTCACAAAAAGGATATAAAAAATGAAAAAGGAAGGAGCCATGATGAGATGCAATCTTAGGCAGATGGCTGAGAGCTGCAAAGCAAATTTTCCTCTGGCAGTAAATGGCAGAGGGAGCCCATGGTGTGTGGCTGTGGAGACAAGGTCCTGTTTGAAATGAACAGATTAATTGGGCACGTAATGATGTATAAAACAGCCCAGGAATACTTAAGGATATGTAATGCAAAATTCAAGCCAATTTAGCATCTATTATATGTTCACAGGAGTGATGGGTGAATATGAGCCAAAAATAGAAGTGCAGTTCCCAGAAATGGTTCCATCTGCAAAAGGAACAACTGTGAGACTGGAGTGCTTTGCACTTGGAAAGTAAGTTTTTGCCTTTCACTTGTTTGGCTGAAGAATAGTTTTGTAAGAAACTGATGTTGTATAAATGTTAAAATATTAGTTATAAACTTGAGTGGGGGAACTCACTCGGTAATCTTGGGCCAGTCTTGTTCTCTGAAGCCTAACTTGCCCGAAAGGATTTCTGTGAGGGGAAAGATGAGATAACCAGTCCTAGGGTTGCAAGCTTCAGGTTGGGAAATTCCTGGAGATTTCGGGGTAGAGCCTGAGAAGGGTGGGATTTGAGGAGGGACCGCAGCAGGGATGTAGTTCCAAAGAGGCCACCCTCCAAAGCAGCCATTTTCTCCAGGGAAACTAATCTCTGTAGTCTGGAAATCAGTTGTAATTCCAATAGACCACCAGGCCCCACCTGGAGACTGGCGGCCCAAGACTGAGCTCCTTAGAGGAAGAGTAGGATATAAATGTGAAGCATATCTATCAGTGTTGCTTTTATCTTTTGCACACCATCCAGTTGTTCCGATTCCATTCCTGTTGACATATTCATACCCCACATACATGTAACTTTGATGGACTGATCACTTTTTCTGTAATCACTTGCTAGACAGATGTCCATAGGATAGGTTACTTTGCTTAGTAATCCTGTCATGTGCTCAGTAAGGAAAGTTATTGATACAATTTGCTGCACAGCGTGATGCATGTCAGGATAAAACACTCCAGTTTGATAGACTGATGAAAAATTGCTGCTGGAAGAAATTTGAAATATATATCTTTACCCGAAAGGAATGGACTTCTGTTCAAATCAAGGAAAGGAAGCCCATACCCCAAGGCCTGAGCTGCCAAGTCTACCAAACCTTTGCTTAGGGAGTGTTTTTGCTTAAATGAAAAAAAAATCAAATTGACTCTAGAAGAGGCAATGGGAGAAAGAAGAGAATCTACGAGGCTGGCCTAGAGAGCATTTAAGAAACTCAGTGTAAAATGGTCTGTGTAGTTGACATGTTTTTCATTATAAAGAAATGCTCTTTCGTTCAGAGCACCACAACCTCACATAACATGCCCTAGGAAATATGGCATTTCAACTGCACTATAGTGGACGAGCTCTGCAAACGTTCTCTGAGGAGATTCTACTGGCAATATGTTTTAAAATGCCCAGATTTGGAGACTGTTAATTGAAGATGCAGATTATGCATCTCAAACCTGTTTTACCTGGGAGATGTTTCTGCCAAGAAATAAAATTCTGGGTATTAATACATCAAGCTTGCAAATAGCCACTTGCCTGGTTCTCTTCCAGACAGTTAGGCAAGGGAAGCATTACCAAAGTTGTGAAAGGGGTTTTTAGTGGGTTTTTTTTTCCATTAGGAGGCAACTTACTGTAATAGGATATGTGGGGGACACACAAACTAGAACATTTGTGTGAGACGAGTACTTTTTGTGTACATTATTGCAATGTTTTATGGCATGTTTAAAGAAAGGCGAGAGAGTGCATGTGGATTTATGTTTATATCTATCTGTAAATATCTGTGTGTGCATTTGTAAAATCCAGCTAAAAAGAATGTCACCCTTATCAGATTGTTTGCCCTTTTGTCCTTGTTGTTGTTGATAAACAGCCCAGTTCCTACAATCAGCTGGAAGAGAGCAGATGGAAAACAAATCCCCAGAAAAGCTCGGAGGCACAAATCAAGCAGTATTCTTGAAATCCCAAACTTTCAACAGGAAGACTCTGGCCTGTATGAGTGTGTGGCTGAAAATGTGAGAGGCAGGAACGTGGCCAGGGGCCAGTTGACGTTTTACGGTATCTAGATTATTTACTCACCTGTTTTTCATTATAGCTGAGGCCAAAAAAGCGGTAAATGCTTTGTTGCATTGTCAATGTTGATTTTTCTTCTGAAATTTTGTCTTGCAAATAGGACTGCTCAGCCAGTGTAATTTTATATAAAACAAAAACCTCTGAGGCAGGCATATTGATTGCGGCTGCAAAGCGAAGGAAGAAATGAAAATGTATGTTGTAGGAAAGAGATCAGTTTGGCAACATGTAAAAAGTGGGCTGTGAAGCAATTGACGTCTCTCTCCTACATCTGGCTGCAAACTGTGTGCACTTGGACTAATTGTATTTGCTTTGGCCTGTGTTTTATTTATATAGCCATTTGCTTCCTTCATTGCTAGAATTTTAATTTCTGGTTAACTTTTGTTATTTGTAACTGCTTCTTGCAGGTTCAGGACAATTTTTTCCCCATTAGTATACACTTCACAGGATACAGGAAAGGAAGGTTTATTTTTATTTTTACTTTGCTGCATTTATACACTGTTTTTCTCCCCAGTGGAGACCCAGAGCACCTTACATAGTTGGGGTTGTGAATCTCCCGGTGGTGGCTGGAGATCTCCTGGGATTACAACTGATCTCCAGGTGGCAGAGATCAGTTCCCCTGGAGAAAATGGCTGCTTTGGAAAGTAGACTAGGCTTACTAAGGTCTGGCGGGGGAATCGTATTTCTTGGCAGGAGCCTTGCTACGGGGACGGCTCCACGCGCTGCACCCGCCGTCGCCAGGATGTGATGCTCCGCATTGCTCTGGCAACGGGGCTGTTTGGAGTCCCGTTGCCAGAGCGACGCGGAGCATCACATCCTGGCGACAGCGGGTGCAGCGTGTGGAGCCGTCCCCGCGGCAAGGCTCCTGCCAAGAAATACGATTCCCCCGCCGGACCTTGGTAAGCCTAAAGTAGACGCTATGGCATCAAACCCCATTGAAGTCCCTCTGCTCCCTAAACCTCATCCCCTCAGGTTTCACTCCCAAAATCTCCCAGTATATCCCAAACCTAGAGCAGGCAATCCTATTGCATAGATCTCTCCTCCATTTTTGACCTTTAAAGTCTTGTTCTCTGAATATACCTTCATGTTTCTGTATTAGTAAGGATTTCCACCACCCATTTCTAATTCACTCCTCTGATATGTTTTCCTCCCCCCATATATAGGCAAATTCCCACATGTAGGATCAACAGGAAGATATTAGAGGCAAACAGCAGTAGGCTGGCTCTTTTGCACGAGAAATAGTGAGCTGTTAACAGAAACATTGGGTAGGCAAGTAGCAAGGGACAAGCTGTTCTGGTATGGGGCAGTATGAAGGCTGTAAAGGGGTCTGTTATTCCTTTCCTCAAAGTGTTCATTAGATTATGTATAGTGGAGGGCTCAGATTCAGCTCCCCCCTCCCTGTTTTTTGTGCTGATGCCTTTAAGGATGAAGTACATGCTGCCCTGACCTCGATAGCTCAGGGTAGCCCAATCTCATCAGATCTTAGAAGCTAAGCAGCCGCCCTGAGCCCTGCTTGATGGGGAAAGGAGCAGGATATAAACTGAATTAATAAAAGCAGAGTCGGCCCTGGCTAGTATTTGGATGGGAGGAAGGAATACCAGGGTCATGATGTGGAGGCAAGCAATGGCAAACCATCTCTGAATATCCCTTGCCTTGAAAAACCCCCATGGAGTCTCCATAAATCAGCTGTGACTTGATGGCATTTTCCACCAACGGGCTGCAGATTTGAAACTGACCTATGGCAGCTCCATGCATGGGGCATTCTAGGCAAGAAACAAGCAGAGGTGGTTTGCCATTGCCTTCATCTGCACAGCAATCACAGTCTTCCTTTGTGGTCTCTCATCTAAGTACTGACCATAGCTGACCTTGCTTAGCTTCCAAGCTCGTGAACAAAGTTAATTTGGACTGTTTGGGCTGCTGTGATGAAAGCTGTAAAACAAGTAATGCAGCCATCCCACACCAGACCCTTTCCATGTAAATCTTCTCATGAACTATTGGGATTCAAGCACAGTGTGAATGTAAACCCTAACAGATTATAGTTCCCGTAATAAATGTGTTATCTAATCCTAAAGTATCACACTTCCTCTCCCTTTGGCATAAATAAGGACTTGGTGTTACAGGTGAACTATCTTAGCAAAACCTGAAACTTCCCGTGCAGTACAGCTGTTCAGTGAACACATAACTTTTTTTTAGGGTTTTATTTTTAAAACAAACAAACAAAAACAGACAGACATACAAAAGACATTTAAAAACCTGGGGGTTCCATTTACATCTTGGTTTTGTCTAGTAAGGTACCTCATACAATGTCTACTTGTAAAATTTATCTTTACCAGCATACATTTTTTGTAAATATTTAGCATTATAATTAAAAATATCAATTGTGGTTTTTCCCAATCCATTATATCAATATTGTTTATTTATTGTAGTCTTCCCGTAAACACATAGCTTTTGAGTGTTGTCTCTGTTTTTCTTGATTGGATTTGAATTTTACATAATTACATTTTACCATATACGGCCTACATTTTTTCATGCCCTCTGGATCTGCTGTCTGTTTACTTTAAAGCCCTTTACATAGTGAGGAACTAGTCAGCGCTTTGAAGAAGCAGACTCTAGTACATGAAGTTTATACGGAATAAAACTATGTTACTCTTTATGGTGCCATAAGAATTGTCTTTATTTTGCTGCATAGGCTACCCCTCTGGAATTAATGAACCTAAAGAAGTGTCTAATGACAAGGGCTGATTTTGCACAAGGAGACTATGTGACTGGCCCATGGTCACCCAGCAAGCTCTCATGGCAGAGTGGGGATTTGAACCTGGGTCTCCCAGATCCTAGTCTGACACTGAGCACAATGCCACACTGGCTCTCAAGGTCATTGTGTTGTGTGTTTGGCAGACAGAAGCAGCTGCAGCATTCATTATTGTTCCCTGAGAATGTACACCAGCTGCATATTGCATCTTGTACTGCAAATCATCTCAAGAGTGCCTGAAGCTTGGACCGAGTCTGTCCACAGGGAATAAAAGTGAAGTGGGAGAGGGCATCCTTGACTTTTGCCCCAGCCCCCGGAATCAGTGAGAGCAGCCCTGAACGTCTAAGCCATCCTGACCATGTGTACTTAAAACAGCATAGTAAGAAGCCACCATTTAGTAATTTACATGTTGATCTTTTGGGGATTTGTTTCTTTTCATTGCTGCCCAGAGGTCATTTCGGGGGGGATCGCAGTTCCCCCGGGTGAGGTACGGGGGGCGGGGCACATGACGAAGCCCCACCCCCTGCTTCCGTCCCTCATTCAGCCAGGAGGAGGCAGGAGAAGAGGGAGGGTAAGTTGCTTCCTCCCTGCCTCTCCCCACCCCTGCCTGCCTTGGGCCAGGGAGGTCCTTTGTGGGGCTTCCTTGCACTCCCGCCGGCCTTGCAGGTCCACCACTGGGCCCCTCATGGGGCTCGGCAGTGGAGCTGCAAGGCCGGCGGCGGTAGCTGGGACCGTTGGGGGCGGGGGTGTGTGGCCTTATGACACACTTCCGGTGATGTCAGGGGGTGTGGCATGTGCTAATGAGTTCTGCTAATGAGTCCCCCTAGCTCTTTTTCTACGAAACGACCCCTGTTGCTGCCCATACAGGTTAATGCAGTAATACAGCCACCCACCTTGGGCTTTTGAGCAAGAGACTACAGTACCTCTAGCCTGGAGAATCTTAGCAGATTCACTTCCTCCCCTTCTTGGAGACACTACAAAGAAGTTGCACAAGTAAGATTGGGAAGCTGATACCCAGTTTGCACTGGGGCTCTAGGTGCCCAACTCTATCCTTTGTTAAAGGCAAGAAAAACTTGTAGACTTTGGAGGCACAGCATAAAACTTGAAACTTGACTGTCTCCACAAGGCACAAGACCTGTTCGTCATGAACTTTGGAAGGGTAGATGTCATGCTATTGAGCCTGCAGGATTGTACGTGCTCCACCTCTTTCCTGAAGGTTCTTCTTCGAAGTTGTCCAATTCACAGCTGTGTCCCTGGTAAATAAGTGAAATCCAGGTGGTTGATCCATGGGTAGGTTTTTAATCTAAGAGGTCTATTTTCCAAAAACAGAGTAAATTTTTTTAAAAGATTTCATAACAACAAGAAAGTTCAGATAATTGGGAACAAACTATAAGCAAGCAGAATGATATAGAGTACTAGAAAAACAAAAGACAAGTAGTTGGCTAGACAGAGTTACAATTACTTAGGATCCTTCTCCGTACAGATAGATTCAGAGTGCCTCTCCTTTCTCAGAAAGTTTACTAAAGCTTACACAAGGATTTGCTGGAGACCTGACAAAGGGTTATACCCCAGGTTTCCCTATCCCTCTAGTTTTAGATTTCACTTCCTGGTCCAATCAGAATATGGTGTACAGCTTCAAAATTCTCCTCCAAGATTATTTCTGACTAATAATTTCAATCATTAAAGGTCACCAGCCTTCATTTCTCCTGTGGTCCAGGAGTGGGACAGTCCTTCCTCTTGGGATTAGGCTCCTCCTCCTAAAGCAGGGTCGGTCTCATTAAGTGGTCCAGCTGGGGGAGGGGCCTATCCCTTGGGGCTGTCCCAGTCTTACTGGCCCTGCCGTGCAAGCAGAATGGAACTCATCTGGCTCCAAGAGCAAACGATCCAGCAAAGAACTCCCGGTGGACCTTTCGGACTGCAATCGACAGCAAACAGTAAACTGGGGGAGACTCCTTGTTCAAGCCATGGTTGGTGGCATACAAGGTGGGCTGGCAGCACTGGGAGATCCCCGGTAGCCATGGCCCTACCACAGACCCCCACAGGACTCTCCCCCTTTGAGCTGGAGAGTCCACCTCCCTTCTATAACAGGACCGTGGAGCGGGGAGCCTGTGAAGGTGCCCAGGGCCGAGCTGACAATCCAGTGCAGTCCCTGGGTGCGGAGAACCTGGCATAGCGAGAAGGCACGGCCGGGAAAACAACCCCACAGACCCATGGTAAGCACCTGATGGTCTCTGAGGAC